CTCCCTGCCTGCCGCCTCCTCCTCCTCGTCCTCCTCCTGCTGCAGGCACCCCCCGCAGGTACCGTCCCTCAGGCCGGCCACACCCGGGGCCTCGGGCAGGTGCTGGGACGGCGGGGTCAGCGCGCAGGCCTCCCGTGTCCCTCGGGGAAGGTGGCTGTCGTGGCGCTGAAAGCTCACTGTCTGCTTCCCCTGCCCTGCCTGCAGCATCGGAGGTGGATTTTACAGGTTTTCATGACTTCATTTCTTGTTTATTGCGTTGTCACAGAATCGTTTAAGATCAAGTCCAGCCATTGCACTAGCGCTGCCAGCCAAGTCCACCATGTCCCTACATGTCTTTTAAATACCTTCAGGGATGGTGACTCCACTTCCCTGGGCAGCCTGTTTCTAATGCTTCATAACCCTTTCAGTGAATAATTTTTTCCTAATTTCCAAACCTAAACCTCCCCTGCCACAACATGAGGCCATTTTCTCTTCTATTTCTTGCTAGTAGTGAGAGGAGGCCCACTGCCACCGCACTACAACCTCCTTTCAGGTAGCAATAAGGTCTCCCCTCAGCCTCCTTTTCTTCAGACTAAACAACTCCAGTTCATTAAGACTTGCCCTCATGCATTTATTTACTTTTTCTACAAAAGTAGATGCATATGTTGCTACATTCCTGACCCTCTTTATAGCCTGACAGTTCTAAGGTTTTACTGATCTATTTTGTATGTTGTTCGTTGGACAGGACGTGAGGCATTTGACATGCAGCTTTCCCCTGTGGGTTCTGTTAAATATCTGTCAGTGCTTTTGCCCACCCTATATCCACCATATCCACCAGTGGGATTAAACTTACTTTCTACCTGTGGAGGTGAAAATAGGTGTAGGAAAGCTAAAAGATTATCCAAGTAATCTTCTTTTTTTCCCCTCAAAAATGAGCAGCACTGGGGAGAGAGGTGTTCCTCCTTCCTGTGTGCCATGGAAGCCGCTAGCCTGAGGGAGTCTGATACCACAGGAGAGCTGCATGCACAGTCAGCACCTGGTAACTTTGGTACACACCTAAAAAAGCTGCGTAACTTTGTTGAAGCCTCAGAGGAACAGAAATAGTGATGTGGTAGGATGCCAAGACACTGCATTTCTGGCATACTAGTGCTGATCTTGTACCTGCTGTGTACGTAATTGCACTGTCAGCTCTCACTGATTGGGAAATCCAGCTGTATGGCCTCTCAACTCTTAAGACTGGGAATGCCCTGAAATGACAGTTTCTGCTTCCTGGTGAGGCTCTGAAGTTTGACTATAGTAAATCACCTAGGCTTTCTGATAGTATTAAATTAGATTTTATTTTTAATATTAGTCTGTGTATGTGCTAGATCTCGTTCTATAATCTGGTTATGATTGAATTTCACCAGTTCCTTTAGAAAGTCATAGTCTTTTCCATGAGCAAGATCAGGAGTGAAGTTCAGAGTTATTCTGCTCTCTGACAAAAAAAGGGAAAACCATGAGCAGTATTTCAGTATATAGTCACTGAAACCTTGTCACAGGATTTCTTCTGTCTTTGGTTTCAGTAGGCATAATCGACAATGTCAACGCCAAAAAAAAGACACTTGTATATTGCACTGGAGTGTATTTATATAGTCTGAGTTCAGACTGATGTAAAGAACATGAACCATTTTCCCTAAGGATTTTTCATTTTGTTTTTTGTTTACTAATGCTGATAGTTTTGGCTTATGTGTTTTTCCTGAAATGAATAATTAAACTTCTTGAGGACAATGTGGAGCATATGCTTAACATGACTTAATTACATTCAACTTTTCTGAGCCATTTGAAGGAAGTTTCAATGTTACTGAAAAGCTACAAGATTTTAAAATTTACCTTTCGGTAGGATAAGGAAAATATTATCCTTTTAAACATATGAAACGTGTTAGTGGTGTAATTGTTAGGAAAGAAATATGAAAGCCTACTTGAAAAATGTAATGTGGTTCATATCTTGCAGGCTTATTCTCAAAAGTTTTAAACTTAACTGAAACAGATGAGAAAATGAAGTTGAGTTTCTCCTGTATGACTTCATACGACTAGTATTAGAAATGGTAATCTTTCTGTAAGCACTTACATCAATAGGCAGCTTAGAAATGCCAGCTGTAATTAAAATACTCGGATATAGAAAAACACTTGTCTATTAGCATGATTGAGCAAAAATAACTTACTTAAGTGGCGTTGCTATTTATATACTCTTTAGTGCAGAAACATCTTTACAAAACTTATTTTAGAATATAATTACTTTGAAAAAACTTACAGCAATTACCATAGTTTAAATAAATCTTTTCCTGTATCTTCATAAAATTTTCATTTCCAGATAAGTTAATTTAAACTATGCCAATTGAACATTCTAGTAATTCAGCATTTTATTAATTAATAAATTGATTGTTTACTTTAGGCTCATTTTAAACTCTTTCCTTTCACAACAATTTTCAGTCCAAATTTAATTTTCTTATGAATTGTTCTGAAGATAATTGATTTTGCAACTGTAACATTAATTTTAAGACTATAAGATTCAGAATAAAATACTTCGTGAAATTGTAGAGTATACTTTATATGAAACTTTTAAGTGGGTGAATGGCATTCCCTTTCAATTAAATGGGAACATGAATGAATGTTGATTTGGCCAGTACTCACCTACCTGGATTTCTCCTTTGGGCAGGCACTGGGAAGGGACTCCTCTTTACCTGGCACTGTTTTAAACCTCTCCAACCAGGAAAGAGCAGAAGCGTTTGCTTGGTTTTGAAGGTACAAGCCACCTGCTACTTCTGATATTGAGTTGGGATGCTTTTCCCTTTAGGCAGAACCCCTTCAAAATACACATTGTCAGTTTCTCTCAGTGTTCAGGCAGAACGTATATACACATCTGCCACGCAGATTTTAGATGCATCAAACAGGATGTTAGCATTTTAACCCTCTGCGGGATCTTGGTCCTGTTTCAATTGCATGAATTAGTAGTAAAGCTGTTGAACTTAACTCCATCAGACTTTAAAGTAGCCCTTTATATCTTCAGGTAGCATTGCTACTTTATATGGCAAATGTTCCTTTGAATTTCAGTCTTTAGGAATGGCTCTTTATGCAGCTGGGACATTTGGGGATAAATTACCCTACACTTCTGTATGTCTGATAGTGATGTAAAACTGTTTTTCTTCATCTGTGCTATTCTGCAGAATGAACTGTGGCTCACAGCTTGTATTATACCTATAAGAAGTACAAGACAATGAGGAAGCGGACCCTATATATATAGGGTCTCTATATATGTATATATATTCTAGTTACTATTTCTACATATATATATTCTAGTGCATTGGCCTGCTTATAAAACTTAATTGGAGGAATTAATTCAGAAATCTCAACTACTCTTCTCAAAAATGAATGAAACAACTTTTCATACTTAACATACTTGTTAAATATAAGGTCAAATTGAAGGGATGAAACAATATATTTAATGACTTTAAAATGCAGTTTAAACACTTCCCTTGTCCTTTGTATTTGTTGCTCTTTCTGTGGGACTTAATGACCTCTTGATATTTCTTTTTTTCTATGAAAACCTTGTTTTTAACCTGATCATATGCACTCTTAAAATAGAGAGTGGGAATTGGGAGATCATTTTTTTTAGAAACTGCTTCAGGAAGAACCATTCCAGTTGATTAGGAGGAGAGCAAATGAATTAAAGTAGGAAACCTGAAAAACTTGGAAAAAAAATTGAAAGGTAGTGTAGAAAATGAGGGCAAGAGTGTATAATTTGGAAAGAAACATTTACTGATTGAAATGGCTGCTATGTAAATTGAAATGTGTATACAACGAATAAGCATTTAAGTTGACTTTCTTAAAATCTCACCTACATTGCCATTGAAGATACAAAAAAACAAATTCCATACGTTTTAGATTACTGCTCTTCAATAATCATGTTGCTTCCACTTTTACTAGTTCTTTTTAAATAGAAGTTCAAGAGCTCCATCTTTGGGTTTAAATTATTATTGTAAAAAAAATATTATTGGGTGCATTAGAAAGGGTGTGGTTTGTCGGTCAAGAGAGGTTCTCCTCCCCCTCTATTCTTCGTTGGTGAGGCCGCATCTGGAGTATTGTGTCCAGTTCTGGGCCCCTCAGTTCAGGAAGGACAGGGAACTGCTTGAAAGAGTCCAGCGTAGAGCTACAAAGATGATGAAGGGAGTGGAACATCTCCCTTATGAGGAAAGGCTGAGGGAGCTGGGTCTCTTTAGCTTGGAGAAAAGGAGACTGAGGGGTGACCTCATCAATGTTTACAAATATGTAAGGAGTGAGTGTCAGGGAGATGGAGTTAGGCTTTTCTCAGTGATGACCAGTGATAGGACAAGGGGTAATGGGTGCAAATTGGAGCATAGGAGGTTCAACTTGAATATCCGGGAAATTTTTTTTTACTGTAAGAGTGACAGAGCACTGGAACAGGCTGCCCAGGGAGGTTGTGGAGTCTCCTTCACTGGAGACATTCAAAACCCACCTGGATGTGTTCCTGTGTGATGTACTCTAGGTGACCCTGCTCTGGCAGGGGGGGTTGGACTAGATGATCTTTCGAGGTCCCTTCCAGCCCCTAAGATTCTATGATTTCTGCATTGATTAAGTAGTGCCTAAACATCTCATAAAGTTATTTATATCTGCTCATGCTATGTCAATTTCCAATGCTTAACTTTTCTAGATGAATTTGTTCAGTTACTTTCTCATAAGCTTTGAATACTTTCTGTGTAAGATTGTTGTTTTCATTTTTTCTCTCATTATTTTTGTTTATTATTGTTTTTCATTTCCAATTATGATACATAAATTTAACCGTTATTTAAATATTTATAAATAGTAGTGGCAGAAGGAATTTTAAAATGGGCTGTTTTTCAGGTAGGGTTCATAATTTGCTATAAATTAGTATGCTTTTATTAAAAACATAGCATATGCTGATTTTTGTCAATGGAGAATCTTATAATGTTCTTTTGGGAGCTGAATTTTAATGAAAAATTAATTTTGTTTCTGCCAGTGCAGTAGAATTTTGAAAGACTTAACATGAATATTCCAGTTTTGTTTTTTGATAAAAACTCTCCAATTCTCCTACGAGGTCTTTGGGGAAAATTAAATTACTCAAAGTTGTGGAAATGGTACACATTGAAGATATACTGCAAAATAAATTAAATTGTTAATCCATCATATCTGAGACTATTCTTAGGATTATCTTCTCTCTTTTCTTTGCTTGCTTGTTTGTTTTCTCAAGTAAGGTTATATTTCATCCTACTTTCTAAGCATTTTCAATGGCATACTCTAGTTACATCTGAAATTACAAGTACAGGCAGTTCTTTTTACCTTATTTATGTTGTCTGCCTTGCTTCTGTTTTCCACAACAGTGCTGTAGAGAAGTACAGCTACCATTGTGTAATAGATGGGGGTGAATGGATAATTTCCCATTATTGCTTAAATCAGGATAAATCAAAAGAAAGTGGGGATTTGACCCCACTTTCCTTACCCTCAACAAATGCCTTAATCTATAACCAGTTTACCAGAGTGTTTATTGCTGGTTTTAGTTTTTTAATATTGAACCTAAGTTAGCAACAAGCATTAGTCTGATGCCCATCTTCATAAAAAAATTGCTGTTGCTGCTATGTTCCATATTTTATTGCTGTTGCTGGTGTTCAGGCCTTTCTGTTCTTTGTTATTTACTTTCCCAGATTCCCCAAAAGAATTAGAAATCACAAACATACCTTAACTCCCAGTAGCCCCTGTTCTTTCCAAGCAGAAGGTGGAGACAAAGAACACAAAATGCTGAAATGTCTAATAACCATTATCTGCTTGCTTCAGTTCTGTATCTCTGTAAAGTCTGTAAAAGAATCTCAGATCTTACTTGTACTGGTATGTTGGCCTGAAATATAGTTCAGTTTTCTTTCAGAAGCCCTGTATGTCTTGCAAAGCTTTGCAAAATTATGAATGTGTTTTTAATTTCTATTTAAAAGAGAAGAAATTCAATTTCAAGTAGCCATAAAATACCTTATATTTCTTTTCATGGCAAAATTAAGTAAATCATAATCATGACGGAACCCAAGCTCATTACTTCATTAATGATCAGCATACACATTGATTGAGATCCCAACAGAGGGTATTGTAACAATGCAGCTAAATTTCAACCTCATTTTGGACAGTACCTATCCCCATATTGAACAGTCATAATATAAAATGTGACTGTTCTTTTGTAAAACATGAATATATTGAAATCTTAATCTAAACTTAAGTGCTGTTCAGAATCAGGATGCTTTTTCTGTATCAGGCCTTTGTCATTGTTTTTGTTGCCTTAGTGAGGGTCATTCCTTGTCTAAGACATTATGCACGTATTCATTTAATATCCTTTGATGAACAAGTCTGTTAAAGAGTTTAGATTAACCTAAAGTATGCTCCTTGCTTTTTCAGATAATTTAAAATGTCGTTGTTTTATCTTTTAACAGTTCAGTCCTCAAAGACATATTTAAGAAGTGTGGGATCAAGACACGATAGCTTAAAAATAGAGGGATCTGTCGTATCTCCAGGTATTTTTCTTTAAACAAATCGTAATGAAAATATTTTTTTTTCACCAAGAAAAGGCCATTCTTTATCATATCCCTTGTTGTTGAATTGTTTTAAATGGTTTTAAGTGTACTGACTATAGGTATATATAATGGGCTATCCCACAATATATATTTTTCACTGGAATTTATTTTTCATTGTTTTTGGTTTTTTTACCATTTTAATGAAACAACAGTAATTATTTTCTGTAATGTTAATAAAAATAACAGTGTTCTCTGTAGCACTCCACCTGGCTGTAGGACTCTTGCTCTGAAATGCTGCTGTCTTGCACTGTAGGTGTTTCAACTTCATCTTGCTTGTTATGCTGATAGAACTCGAGACTTGACGTTTATGTTCCATCCTACAAAAATTAAGAAAATAATTCATTGCTTTCTAAATTAAATACATCAAGCTCCAAAATGTAATATCACTTTCTCATTAACTAATATTATCTCTTTTCATTAAACAAAACAATTATTGAAAAATCTGAAAAATAAAATAAATATTAGGCTGTTCCTCATTGCCATATATTTACTCATGTTAATACTCTTGCCCATAGTTTTCTCCATGTACATTTTCCAATTTTAATTTTACTAGTAGCATATCTAGATGTAGTATTTGTGTTTGGAGGAATCCTAAATTACATTTTTAACCTTTTTTTTTTGTTGTTGTTCAGATTCTTAGGCATAATTAATTTTTGTCCAAAGGTACAAAAATTCTGGGAAATAATTTATATAAAGGTTTCTCTTTTAGCAATTTAACTTATAATATTATTTAACATTGATGTTAAATCATGCCTCTGAGTGACCTAAAAGTTCACCCTATTAGTGTTCTTTTTCTCTCTTCCTATTCTGATTCATGTCTGTAAACATGGCAACAATTTGAATGATGCAGGGGAATTTTAAAGTTAGAAGGCAAGACTAAAAATGTCAGTACCAACTGTGTTTCTGAACAATTTAGTATCAATAAAGAATGTTTCTGCCTTCTCAAGGACAGACCATTGTGAATATACTAGACTTGGATTCAGTTTTATTTTGAGATGCTGGGCAACATCTCTACTTTGAGGGCTTTTTTCACCAAAGTTTGGTTAAATAGAATGTTACACTATTCAAATTCTACACTTTTAAAATACATGACATAAATGTTCTTTTTTTGATCACTACCTAAGGGATTTTTTTTTATAATTGAGAGAATATAAACAAATAGGAAAAATAGAAAAAATGTCATTAAAAGGGTAAGACTCTATTTTTAAAAAAGAAGAAGGAGGTTATACCTGGTAGATATCTTTTCAGCCAGTATTTTCTATCAGATGTCCGTCTGTTACGTTACTCCTGTGATACATATTTAGAAATCTGTCACGGATATTTACAGCAATGGGACTGAATTTACCATCTAGGCAGCTTATGATAATAGCAACTCTATAATTTTGTTACTTTTTATTGTGTATACAATGCAGAACAAAGTGACCTTGAGGAAATAAAATAAAATGTGAAATGGGAGAGATATACAATGTATACAATTTTGCTTCAAGAGATTATTACTAAAGCCAGTCAGTTAGTAAATTCTGAGCAAAAATATTAAGGATTTACAATGGAAAAAAACATCAGATTGGCAGTTGCATTAACATGTAGAATTCACTTTAATTTTCATGCTTTGGGATTAAAAACTGAAAGAAAACCTGTAAATTACATTAATTTCCATGCTATGCTATTGTATAATTGAAAACCTTTACTTTGCTGTTTTCTGTAATATAAGCTCCTGTAAAAAACTGATTAGCTGGGATAGACATACCTTCTGATCTTAAGACTATACAAATTCTGAAGCTATTCTTATGTATTAAGTGTTCTATCTAAGTCTATATGTATTAAATGTTATATCTGAGTCTTTATTCTGTTTAAAAATAATACTACAATGTGAATGTAAGTGGCTTTTACATTATTAATCAAAGTGAACATTCATACTTTGTGAGGAGAGAAAACTGTAGTGGCATTGCCACCACTTGACACATTGGAAAAGTGAAAACACTTTTTCTGAGCATTAATGCCTTCCTGCAACAAATATTTAAACTGTTTTCCACTTGTGGGGAACCTGAAATAGTCAATGGTAAGACAGCTTTGTGGTAATTTTCTTATTTGATTCAGTTGTAATTATTAGTCAGATTCTCCAAATCACAAATGTTCTAGTTGTAATGGTTTATATTATTTGTAACTTTTCAATGGCATTTGTGTAGCCTGACAGAGAGCATGATGTATTCAAATTTGTCCTCACTAGAGCAGAAGTACCCAGCATCCCTTGCTTCTGAAGAGGATAAGTGTTTTGCAGATTGTCAGTGGGAAGGGAAATAAAACAGATTGTACATGCAGAAATAATTCATATTATGGAAGTTATCATGATTGCACCAATCGTAGTTTCAGAAACAACTTAAGATCTGGAAGCACCTGTATGCTACAAATTGCATACAAGACATGCATACCTGCTTTACCGTGGAGAAAGACTAAGTAAAACCTTTCCTTAAACAGTTTACTTCCTGGCTCATTATGACTGAATTAAAAAATAGGCAGCTCACCATTTAGTAAGCTTGAATGCTAAACCCTTTATAAGCAAATACATACTGCACTGGTAAATGGAAATTGCTATATAGAATGGAAATGGCAACTTCACTCTCTCCATGGGTGTGTTAGAGACCAGCTGAGACAGAACGCTGCAGAAGCCCATGCTTGTGAGAACCTGCTAAGTTACATACTCCCTTCTGGAAGATATTACAGTGCGCTGTGATTCTTGTTTACACAACCAGATAAGCCAGAACTGAAAATAATTATCTTAATTTTAGTTTCTAGAGAAGAAAAAGACTGCTCTCTGTTTTGTGTTTCATTTTGACAGTAGAGATAGCAGAACCAGTCCCAAAATTAGAACTCTGTTCAAGATGATTGTTGAACCACTGACTTGAAATTAGTATACTTCGTTGTTAGGACACCATTGATGAATACTTGATGGTAATGATAATTTTTTATTATTTTTTTTTTCAGTTAAAGTTTATGTCAGGCTGTATCACGACAGCCCACGTATTTTGTGTCTTACAAATAATCTGCGAAACTTAGAACTGATTGATCCAATATTCCAGTGGTATGGACCAGGTGGTCGACTTTCTTCAGGTAAATATTTATTTTCCCCCACACCCTCTCCCCTTCCCCTTGCGCCCCCCAGCTCCCCAAAGCATCATAAAGATTATAAAGGTGGGAATATAAATGGAGAAGTAACTGAGGATACATTGTGAATGTCTGTATGTATGTTGTAGAAATTAAGTTTCACTTTTCAGAAAGGGGTGAAAGTAAGAAAGCTAACACACATTTTTAGATCTCTCAAAAGAATGGTGCCATATCTAAAGAATACTAGACAGAGCAGGACATGTTGGATCCAACAGAGGCTGAGGATGACATTCTTTGCTGCACTAAGACAGCTGGGAGCATTCAGCAAGGACAGAGTAATAGGATGATGTGTGGTGTGGTCTAGGCCAAATGCTTGCTCAATGACACACTGTCTTCAGATACAAAGTTGCTCAGAACTTTGACCACTTGAGTTTGGGGAATCTCTATCCTTGGAGATTTTCTGTCTTTTCTGTACAACCTGTTCCTTTTTTTTCCAATCAGAATTTACCTTATTGCAACTTGTCCTTTTGTGGTGCACTTAAAAAGAGTAGTTTATTCTTCCCCACTCTTAGGTACTTAGGGACTGCATTTCCCTCCTTTGACTTCTCTAGGGTAAAAATCCTAGTTTCCTCTGCTTCTTGCTCTATGCTCCAACACCTTAATTGTCTTAGAAGTCTTTTGGTGACTTCCTCCAGTTTGTTAGTTATCTGTCTTGTACTGAGGAGTTAAAACTGGACATGGTGTTCCAGAGTGCCCAAATGAGTACCAACTAGGGAGATACTAATCACTTCTTTTGACCTGCTGGATATATTTTTACTAATGCAGCCCAGTTTGCAGTTAACCTTCAGTGCTGTGAAAGGTCTGGAGAACAACTGGTATTTGACTTACAAAGCTTCCTGAGAGACCATCAGAGTCCTATCTGGACTACAAAACAGAGTATGTTTCATTCCTAAAACACTTTTCAGGTTTATTATATAACATGTTAGTTTATGTTTCTGTGCATGTATATATGTAACTCATCGCTGTATTTACCTATTTGGACATCTTCAGATATTGCATATTTAAAATTTGAACATGCTCAGTAGCTTGATCTGAAGATTAGATTTTATTACCTGGGTTAATAGTTGTTTCTAAATGCCTCAAGAATTTGTTTCTGAAAAGTCTATTGGCTTGATTCTGCTGTAATTTACTTTTGCTCTTAATGTATAATTAGAAGTTGCTCTGCTGTAAAAGTGGTCCAAATGAGAGATGGGGTGGAAGGATAGGGAGTAACTATTTCTTTGCACTGAAAGAACTTGAAGGAGAATCAAGCTGTTGGTTTTAAGTTTAGTAAACAGCAAAACTAAAATACAGGAACACTTAGTTTGTAATATAATTACACAAGGGTATGGAAAGTTAAGGGATTTAGTCTCTGTAACATAATTCTCACAGGAATGCCTCTGTTTTGCATCCTTCTAATTCCTGAGGATCCTGGAAAGTGGTCTCGCTTCTTCTTTTAACATGAATTAAAAAACAACTCTTGTTTCAAATGATGCCTGTTTTCAGTGACTGCTGGGAACCTCTGAACTTGTTCACATTGATTTTTTGTACCTCATGCATGTGAAATGTCTCTTGTGTAATAGAGACATATTAAATCATATAATGTAATTAACATGAAAAATATGTGAAATTCTGCTCACTTGTCTTACAGAACCTGCTGCAGAGGAGTAATATGGAAAAGAAATAGATTTTTAAAAGGGGTGGGTAGGTTAATCACTTTTAAAATTTAATTTTAAAGATAATAGTCTGATTTGTGAACCCAAATTAGTCTGCATAGGCAGTATTCATCCAGATAATCCCATGGATGGAGCAAGGCATTTTAAGTGTGGTTTCTTTTAGAACACTAGAAAAATACCCACTCCAATAACATGACATGCTCTTGAATTCATGATCCAAAAGGAGATTCTTTAGGCACAGCCATGCCATTAAAATAACTGATGGGTACTATGTAAACATTCTGATCTTTTCTGGTATATGAACCATTCATTGTTCAAGGCAGGATAACATTCTTTATTAAACTCAATGACTCAATCCATCCAAAAAAACACTTTACTTTTCCATTTCTGCTGATGGACTTCCAAAAAATACTTGTGACCAGATTTCTTGACTGGATTCCCAAGCTTTGTCTTTAGCAGGCTTATTATCATCTTTGCAGTTCAGTAATGCATTTTGTAAGTATAGCAAAGCTGTCAGTGATAGATTTTAAAGGTGCTCCATCTATCCAGTCAACTAATGGTGTTGCTTTTGTCCCACACAGGGCAGTTGGATGTATGCCAAAGATCGGAACTATAGTTCTTAAATCTGTGCTGGTTTTCTGACAATATTAATAATTGAATTGCAGAATAATAGAACGGTTGAAGTTGGAAGGGACCTTAAAGATCATTAGGTTCCAACCTCCCTGCTATGAGCAGGGACACCACACACTAGACCAGGCTGCACAAAGCCTCATCCAACCTGACCTTAAACACCTCCAGGGAGGGGGCTTCTACAACTTACCTAGGCAACCTATTCCAGCACCTTCCTACCCTCATGGTGAAGAATTTCTTCCTGATGTCTAACGTAAATCTCCCCTCTTTAAGTTTAAAACCATTACCCCTTGTACTGTCACTACCCTCTCTGGTGAAAAGCCTCTCCCCAGCTTTCCTTTCCCCAGGCCCCTTCAGATACTGGAAGGCTGCTATAAGGTCTTCCCAGAGCCTTCTTCAGGCTGAATAGTGCCAACTCTCTCAGCCTGCCTTCATAGCAGAGGTGCTCCAGCCCTTTGATCATCTTCGTGGCCCTTCTTTGGACCCTCTCCAACAGCTCCATATCTTTCCTGTGCTGAGGGCACCAGAACTGTACACAGTACTCCAGCTGAGTCTGACCAGAGTAGAGTAGACAGGCAGAATCACCTCCCTGGCCTTGCTGGCCACACTTCTTTTGATGCAGCCCCGGATGCAGTTGCTGTCTGGGCTCCAGCACACACTGGCGGCTCATGTCGAGCTTCTCATCTACTACCCCCCCCAAGTCCTTCTCTGGCCTGCTCTCCAGCCATTCTCCCCACAGCCTATATTTGTGCCTGGGGTTGTGCCAACCCAGGTGCAGGACACTGCGCTTGGCCTTGTTCAACTTCATGAGGTTGGCCCTGGCCCACCTCTCCAGCCTGTCAAGGTACCTCTGGATGGAATCCTCTAGGGTGTCAACTAAACACAGTTTGGTATCATCAGCAACCTTGCTGAAGTTACACTCAATCCCACTGTCCACATCTCCAACAAAGATGTTAAGCAGTACTGATCCCTCAGGAACATCACTCATGACTTCCTGATAGCTGTTCCAGCACACAGTAGCAAATGATATCCTATAGATTTAGCAGTCTTTAGTAGTTTGTCATCAGATCAAAACCTTTTCATCATCCAAAAAAATGAAAAAAAGTGTGCCATTAATGTGAGCCTAGACTGATACAGAATCCCAAACCATTCTTGTAAAAGAATTTGCACTTCCAGTCTTTTTAATAGTCTTTTTACCAGCCACTGTTTTCTTTTTTTTCTTTTTTTTTTTTTTTTCCAAACACAGTGATATATGTGGCAAAATTCAGTTAATTAAAAGATTATATGGTTTCTTGGGCAACAAAGTTGTCCTACACCCTCTGGCCAAGTTTGTAAAAAGACGCACTTCGTGAGGCTGCTTTTTTCCCCCAATATCTTTTTTAAAATCATATGCCAGGAAAATAAACTTACATCTACAGTTACAAGTTTGTTTGAATAGAATTCTGGATTTGAAGTGAATTGCTTGACTGTACTCACTTTCCATGTTTTGTTTGGATCATGGTCTGGTCTTTGCGTGCACAAACTGGATCTCTTGGGTGAAGCTAATTGGAAATGTTTGCTTTGAGAAATAATGCATGTTCAATCTGTAAAACCAGATTAGGACTGGTTTGAAGTAAAAGCCCTAAAATGTGTGTGTAGAGGTCTCATGTCCTTAGCATTGATTTTTTTTCAGACTAAAAATATGCTGCATTTGTACCACACTAATTGTCTACGCTTCAATCATCTACATAAAATGTCTAAATTATTTAGTATGTTAAAATTATCTATTTTTGCCCTGTGAAAATGGAAATAGAAATCCATTCTCAAAATATTTTATTGAAGTAAGTATTTTACCTTTAAATCCATTATAATCAACACTAATCTAGTGGTTCCCAAGGTTTTCTTTGACAGCTGCCAGCAAGATGGGCTGCATATTACTATTTGAGAAACCTGTGTCTGTATTTTTACTGCCTGAGGACTTTTCAAGTCAGGAAAAGACTAATAAATTGTCATCATGTAACTCATATGCAGGCTACATGAGACAACTGTGTGGCTTGTTATCAGTGAACATATCTGACGTTAAGCAGTGCTTTTCTTTCTCTTTAAAAAACCTAGTTGAAGAACTTTCCCCCTTGAAGTAGGATCCTGCTTCCTCTCTGCCTTGAACTAAGGAGTTCTGTTAAGACTTTGGCCACTGTAGCAGCACATATCTTTCCATATGGAAGGATTAATTTACAATCTTAAACATCCATGATTCTCATTTTGGCATATATGTGTAATTTTTTTTTTAATACTTAACTTGAACTTCCTGTCTTGCCTGCTTTTAACTGTACTACATGTTAAACACCACCAGCAGCTAATTCTTGAGGCAGTTCCTGAAAGAAGAAAGATTAGTAGTCAGTTTGACTATAAAGAAGTATAAGAAAAGATTATTTTGCCCACTCTATCTTTTTTTTGTGTCCTTTTTTTTGGGGGGGGGATGGGGGAGTTTTTTTTTCTCTTTGAAGTGATTATTGGAGGGAATGGTAAATGCCTGAGATTGAAGAAAAACAGGTTTCTAGGATTGCTTTGTCAACCAGTTCTTAAAAACACAGAAGCAATAAGGCATATATGTACAATGCTGAATTGGGTGACACCCAATTAGCTCCAGTTTCTGAGTCCTGTGCCTTCAGAAGAATCCATAATTTTAATATTTTGTGCACAGGTTAACAGTAAATAACAATTTATTTTAGCAGTAAATAACTTTCTGCATTTTCTCATGATGATAAATACGTTTATTTCATTTTTGTGTTTACTAGAAAATAGCAATGTGCAGATATCACCAACAGGAACTTTAGTGTTGAGACACTTCAACATGAGTGGAGTTTACACTTGTTCCATTGTTTATAAGCTAACATCAATGCAACCTGATAGAAACCTCGTAATGAATTATTCTATTTATGGTAAGTTATCAAACCAGGTAAGTTTGGTGTTGCCTTGAAAAATTTTTCTTTTAAAAAATGTGTGTTGCTATTTCTAAATAAGTAGGCTTATTTATAATTAAATTTGCAGAGATAAAGACATTGTGTTTCTCTGGGAAATTGTTTTTAATATTAGTTACTCCAGACAGTTCCTTTAATGTCAGAGCCTTAAATGAAGCTCAATGGCTGACTGAGAAACGTATGAATACAGATCTTTTTAAAAAAGAAACAGAAAACATCATGAAGTCTTAACAGATTGAATGGTCAGTATTCCTTAATATAGTATAAATTAGTATAGTATAGTATAGTAAAATAGTATAATTTTAAACTGAATTATTCTTTATGAGATTATTTTTAGCACAGCTCTATGGATTTACTTCACACATGTTAATGCCTTAACTAATACTTGATTGCGTTTTTTAAGTATGTATCATTTAATGATACAATATTTGAAGCTTATTCTTTCCTGTTCTGATTCCATTTCCTTCACTCTCAGCAAGTAAAAAGTCTTCAATAACGTGAAGGGTTGTAAAGGTGATGTCATTTATTGGTTACTAGCTCCTTTTCTTCTGTAAAGGATACTTTATTCTTGTGCAGATGTAGGCTAGAGGCCTCTTTTCTTGAATTTAAAATGTGTACTAGTGATCATTCAGAAACATGGTAGAGCACAATAACCTAAATTAACCTCTGATGTAAATTAATTTTCCTTAGGCACAGTAGCCTCCATACAGAATAACCATGACTTTTAGCAGCTAGCTTGATTGACAGAACTAGAAAGGAAAAAGTTTATTTGAAAGGGTTTTGATGGAAATGGTTACAGTTTTCAGTAATTCAGACTTACATCCTTCAGAAAGGATCCAATATGAATGTTAGCATACAAAATTCAAGTTTCATATATATATACCAAAAAATATGGAATATGCAGCAGAAAAGCAAAGGAAACGGGAGGCGAAGGCAAGGTAGAGGATCTAATGAGCTGTCTTAATTGCATACCATATTTTGGATGTTCTGCTTCTACTTTTGGCTGGTTCAGTTTCTTTTTCTTCATTCTTCTTCCCTGTGACCCCCTTCTCCTTTCCGTGGTTCTACCCGTACCATGTTGCCTGTTCTTCATTTTTTTACTCCTGTTTTCTATTTAACATTGTGCTATGTTGATCTTCAGCTTTGGCTAAGTATGGTGACTATTATGAAAAAACTAGAAACATGCATTTTGTTTGTACATTGGCTTTTTGTAAAAGATGCCCAGGTATGCATTTAGCTTTGCAGTATAGGTGAAATAGTTGATCCATCCATAAAAGTAAATTTCATACCTATATAGAAGTTTTTTCAATTACTTATGCTCACAGAGGAAGAATTCCTGTTCGTCTTATTATTTACATCTTCTGTTGAACTCTGGGGAAAGCAATTCAGTTTTTAAGGCCTTTAAAATATTTCAATGATAGCTGACCAAAAAATGTGTAACATACTACTATAAATGGCCATAATGTGTGAGATGAGCTGCTATGTCACATACTAAAGAGTGTTTTCTATGATTAACCTTAGCTTTCATAATCATGATCCCTTTTCTGTAATCTCCTGTTGGTTTAAAAATTAAAAAAATTACAATAATAAGGAGTAAGACCAACCTATGGATATAAATAAGAATGTTGACTTACAAAAGTCTCTTAAGTGTTTTCAGCTGGCCCAGCATACACTATTTTATCTTTAAGAATTCTCTGGGGTGAAAAATAGGTTTTATCTATAATTTAAGGATTTAAAATGGCAATTTTATTTTCAAATACACAAATATTTCTTCTTTTTACTTCATATATGCTTCTCATAATCTTCCACATTTTTTCCTGCAGCTTATTCTGATCCTGAAATGTACTATGAGTTCACAGCCCGGTATCATGCAGCTCCCTGCAACAGTTCTCGTAATACTTGTTTTGAGAAAAAGTTGCTTAAAAAACTAAGCCAACTTGTTGCTGAATTTTCTTGTAAGGTTACATTAATTAATTCAGAATGCCATAATTTAAAAATGCAGAGAGCTGGTGGACAAAGTGTAATCTTCTTTACATTTTCAGGTAAAAATCTGCTTTGCTTTTGAATAATGGTTAGAATGTAGAATTTTTTAGAATTTAGAATTGAATGTATTGCAAGGGTTTAATAATAAAGTTTCTGGAGTGTGACATTTTTCTAAAGTATTGCATATGAAGTTCATGTCAGTATCAGAAAAAGTTATCTGCTCTGAAGTGCATCTTTTGCATTCTTTCATAAGAGCTTTAGAACTTTCTGCAGCTGTGGATACATCAATGTTTTTAATTCTGTATCATAAAACGTTATCATGTCCCTTGTTGCATACCAACATAGGAGGGAATGTGATATACCATATGCTGTAAATCCCCAGATTAGCTTCATCTACCCACCTACAAAAGGTGTATAAAGCACTCCATTGCTGTGCCTTGGTCTTTATAAACAGCTTCCAAATGACAGACTAAGAGTGGATGTCTAATTTTCTATAACTAAAGCTAAATGCCATAAACTGCGATACTTTTCCTTCTTAAAGTGGCAACAATGGAAGAGAAGGTTTTAATACATTTCTATTTCTTTAAAACAAAAGGAGCCTGAAGGAGACCTGAGTAAAACTGAGTTGCCAGAAATAGTGAGTTGGCTTGATTAGAAGTAAATCGTTAGTTGGCTTGTGAAGATGTCACCAAACCAGGGGATATTTAAGAATTCTTATGGAGTGTGATTATGTATTGTAATAGGTATAAAACTTTTTAGCTGATATTTGGATGCATTTATTAGTTTGTTATACATAAATGAGTTTATATCTATACATAACAGAAGACCTTACCGGAAATTTATTTATTAAGAATAATTTTTCACTTTTACATTTATTTGTTTTCAGAAGATTTTTCCAATACCAGCATTTTGCTGAAAGCATTAACTGTGGTAGTAAGAAACCTCCATGTCATGCAAGCCCAAATGAGATACTTTTTTTTCCATGAGACTTGTTCTCAGAATATTCCTTCTTAATACTGAAATTGTATGAAAAGACAGTCTCAACTCCTTTATGCTGTAGGTGAGGCCTGAATGAAGCTGTAAAACAGTCCTCGGTATATGTTCAGTTCACTTGAAGTACTTTCTGTTATTAGAGATATCACTAAAAGCCAAAGAGATGCTATTTTTAATTGTTGAGATGAACGTACATGGCAACATCTGCAATATTCTCTTGAAATTACTAATTTTTCAGCTCTAAAAAAGACCATGGTTTTCATATATTCTATTAGATTAGTCACTATGTATCGGCACATGCCATTTGAAAGGTTTAGTTTCTAAACAAATTAAACAACAGAGGAGGCTCTGAGGATATCTTGTTGTGGCTTTTCAATACCTAAAGGGGGCCTATAAGAAAGATGGGGATAAACTTTTTAGCAGACCCTGCAGTGATAGGACAAGAGGTTATGGTTTTAAATTAGAAGAGGGTAGATTTAGACTAGATATTAGGAAGAAATACTTTGCAATGAGGATGGTGAAACATTGGAACTGGTTGCCTGGAGAGGTGGTAGAAGCCCAATCCCTGGAAAAATTCAAAGTGAGGTTGGATGGGGCTCTGAGCAATCTGATCTAGTTGAAGGTGTCCCTACCCATGGCTGGCGGGGTGGAACTAGGTGATCTTTAAAGGCCCCTTCCAAATAAAATAATTTTATGATTCTATTATTCTAATTTTGCTCAATTTTCCTATTTCCAATTTTTATTTTATTGACAATTAAATATAATTGCTTATAAAATCAATGAAAATATTAGCTGTATTTCTCTGAAAGTTGTATTTGGAGTGGATGACACTGACATATGGCAGTTAGTTATGGTCAGTCCTAAGGTTATTGAAACTGGATAAATGAGATTTAGCTGAAGTCCAAGCTTTATAGAATATCTGAACATTAGGAGGAGAAATTCTCCAGATATACGTTTAGGTGGATGCAAGCTTTGAAAGGACACAGTGGTAAACTGTATTTTTTTTAGGTAGTTTGAATTCTTAAAAAGTCCTTTTTGATCTCTAAGTAGTATTTGGTGTTTCAGAATTGCTTCCATGACAGAGGTAGGTACAGCTTATATTATAAGGAGTTAAATTCCCCTGTTAACTTATAATTTTATTCTTAACATGGCAACTTACCCTAATGCCAGTTCTGGAGAGCAGTCCAGCAGATTACTTAACTGTCTCCCGAGCCTTCACCATAGCATATTAGTACTAGTGAGTTGATAAGGAATGTGGTCCCACACAAATGGGTTATTATAACATAAATACCCTTTTTTCTTCAGTCAATATTTAAGTTTTCCTTTGGTTCTATGTGCTAAAGGCATTCCAATGAGAATGTAGAAGGCTGAATGGGTGAGGCTCAGGAATTGAGCTCAGGAACTTGTGCAAAGAGGGGGCAAGGAAAATCTTTAAAAGCAGTAGGTAGTTTTTGCTGCTTGATTGTTCCATCACAGAGTAGTCAGAAGCTTGAACTGTTAGGGTTTCTGAATGACTGCTTTAAAACCTGAGTCTTCATCAAACTGCAATGGCAGGCAGGTAATTACAGAGGCAGTGGCTTATTTCTTTTGAAACAATTCAGATAATTTTAAGTCTGGGAAGAATACAGAATTATACATTTCCTTGCCATTTGAATTTACAAATAAATGCCAGTTCCCATAACATACTTAAGTATATTGAAAATTACATAGAGACATGCAATGTATGTAAGAGGACAAGCACTGTGATTTCTTTAAAACATTACAAGTTAGACATCTGAATTACAGTAAAAAGTCCTAAATTCTAACATGAGAACTGACCAGAATCATAAACCAGTAAATAAATGAAATAAAAATGTTGGTTTAATTGTATTTGTTGATTTATAAACAGATTGTGTTTTATTACAGTTGCTTGCTTAAGCCGAGAAAAACACAACAGACTAGGTCAGCGACGTGCTTGTGACACATCTCATAGACTGAGGAAGGTACAGTAGATAGAAGGATAGAAAGGCAACTAACATGATAAGCTACTCTCATAGTCAAGTACAACAACATTTTAAAAAGAAACATACTTTGTTTAGTAAATTAATAAATCAGTTTAAAAGCTTTAGTGGATGTAACATTTGTATCAGTTAAAATTGCTGATTTTCTATTGCTGTTATGGATAAGGCAGATCACGCTACCAGTCTACATTAAAGACATCATATTAAGAGTATGAAAGTGGCAAGAAAACAAAGAAACTTTGAACATGTGCTATCTTATAAATATCAGACATGCTGTTTTGCAATGGGACTGCCTTTCCATCACTTCAAAGTGATTTTATAATTGATCTAGCAGATTTTAGCTGTTTTAAAACTTTTGGTTTTTACAGTAGAGAAGAAGAGAGACTTTCACTCACCAGTTTAACCAATTCAGAAGTTCTTAAAGGGGAAATGAGAGAGGGGAAGTAAACTATAGAAAAAATACCAAGAAATAGAAGGCATGCAAATAATTATTTGGGATTCCAACAGAGAACTGAGGGAGTCTAAAACAACATTGTACTCATTAAGCAGCTTCCATCCTATCCACTGAAAAAAACCATTAAATTTGTGGGGAGAGTTCGTCATTCAAGTTAATCTTTTTCATACAGACAAGAGGATCAAATTAAGAGAGCATGAATACATTTGGTTTTGCCAATTTGTGTCTGTATTGAACCTAGCAAGACGCTTAAAGTTTGGGGGTTTGGTTTGGGTTTTTGTTTGTTTGTTTGGGGGGGGGGTTTGTTGTTTTTTTATTTGTGGGGGTTTTTTTGAGATTTTTGTTTGTTTGTTTTGGTTTTGTTGTTGTCAATTTGTTTTTGTTTTTGGGTTTTTTTGTTTGTTTTTAGCTTTATATAGATATATCATTAATCCCTGTACACAAATGAAGCACTTTCTGGATATGCAGCATTGATACTTTTTACTGCTAGACTTTGTCAGACTGCTAATGGGTCTGTTTTTTGTTACATGTTTATTTTAGCCTGTTAGAAGTCACATTTTTAATTTTAACTACTATGACAAACTATTTAATATTCCAGTGGAAGACACTTCATAAAAATTGCTGCAAAATTCCAGCGAATATAAAGGATAAAAAACCCAAAGCAAAACATAGCCTTTGGCTAGAAAGATTGAGTAGATGAGATGGACTAGAATAACATTTCTGTGATTCTGTGCTGCTACTTCTGCACTAATTGAAAGGATTGCTTTTCCTTATCGAGGAATGTGTTTGTGCAAATCTTTTTGAGTAAGTCAGTTAGTATTTAATTATTAAATTTGAAATAATAATAATAATAATCATCATCATCATCAATCATCATCATCCCTTTACTTAACTTGGCTCCAGGAGACCTTTGGCATTTTCTTTTTATTGAACAGAAATAGCTAATAAAGATGGAAAGTACGTCTGAAATGTAAGCAAACCTAAATAATGTATGGAGATAAAAAAACCTATATAGATGGGAAACCTGTGAATCTATTGATTTTTGGACTACAGATGTCTAATGTAGGCAAAATTGCCATTGATTAGCTTTTAAAGTTCTATTTGTGTAATCTGCACAATTTCAAAGACAATGCATTAATTAATTGAGGTTTATTTAAATTAAAACCAACATATCCAAGAATGTGAGATTGTCCTCCTGTTTCCATTCAGTTAGGATCAAAAGGTTTAGTGGTACATCCTTTAAATCTTAATCTTAACTCATACTCTTCTGTCTTTTCTTGTATTCTGACCTTTTTCCATCAAGTATTCTGAAAAAAAAAAATTATTTGTTTCAATTTAGGCAAAAGAATTGATACAGATATTTTTTAACAAACAGCTGAAATTTAGCAGGGAAGGTTCTGAACCGTTGTCTGAAATATACTACATTGAAGGTACTCTACGAACAGTATTGGTTGATCGCTGCTATCCAGGGTATGGAATGAATCCTCTAATGCATCCAGACTGTCCAGAGTGTTGTGGTAAGTGACAAATCAATTTATTGTACTATTGTTAAATTTTTTTTTTTCTCTGATTGAACTCAGTATTTTGTTATTTACCTTTATTAAATTGTTATGCCCTAATGTTTATGACTGTGATCTTGTCAAGTCTGTCAAGGTAATCAGTAGTACGTTGGGTTAGTACTTGGGCAGAACTTTTGTAAGAACTTGTTGATTTAGATTTCAAGCCAGACTCACAATTTCTCTGGACTACTTTAAATTAAAATTAATCAGATTAAGTTCAGACTTCTAGATAGCACTATTTTATGGCACAACAAACAAGACAATACTTTTTGTTCTTAAGTTTATAAAAGGGGGCATAATAATGCAATGCTTTTATTTAATTACAAACTTAAATGTAGATTTGCTCCAGATTGGAGTAAAGTAAGAATAATATATAAAAAATCACTCTGTGTAGCTTTGAAAAATAAAATTAAATTTTTTAATATTTGTAATCGATTTGCAAGAATAAGGAAAGGGAGGGAAAGAATTCTGGTGATTTTATTTTTGTCAATTCTTATATTAAAATGAGTGATATTGCCCTTCATAGATACTGAGGAGTGGATCGGTGCTTTAAAGACTGGCTTTGCCAGATGGCATTTCACCCAAGACCAGGTTATTCATATGATTCCCAGATATTGAACCTGCAGTCTCAAAAGAACAGTGGAAGACGAGAAACAGAGAGAATAAATCTGTTGTCAAGCTTTTGACATCTCCATCATTCCCTACAGACCTAGAAATAGTGAAAGAAAACACTGTATTACCTATTGAACCACAACATACAGAACAGAATACACTTTGAAAAGAATTAGTAAGAATATGGAAGAAAACAGACAACTAAAAATTGGGGGACATGCAAAATGTTCCCATATGAGATTGTTTTTTCCATTTATTTTTTTTTTTACAAGAGGGTAGATTTAGATTAGACATCAGGAAGAAATTCTTCACCATGAGGGTAGGAAAGTGTTGGAATAGGTTGCATAGGGAGTTTGTGGATGTCCCCTCCCTGGAGGTGTTCAAGGCCAGGTTGGATGAGGCTTTGTGTAGCCTGGTCTAGTGTGAGGTGTCCCTGCTCATAGCAGGAAGGTTGGAACCTGATGATCTTTAAGGTCCCTTACAACCTTGACCTTGCTTTGAAGTTATGTGTTTATCTTCATTGTGAAACAACATCAAGTTGTATTACTTCCCACTTACCTGCATGTGTTTCAGCATTCATTCATGAAATCTTCACATAGTATGGAAGCCTGATCAGCTGTTCTGTGTTTTTTTGGATTCTTTTTTCCTTTTCTGCAAAATTCATGAAACATTTCTTACCAGTCATAGGTTAATTCCAGTCCCAAGGTATCACTGCAGATACATTGCAAACACAGATTATCATCTGTGTTACCCTGTCACGGGGCAGTTCTGTTTTGGAACATGGGAACAGATGTTACTCACACTTTCAAATTTAGAGTACATTAAGCTTTGAATACTGCAACTTTTTCTAGTCTCTGGATCTTGATAAGGATGTGACAGAATGGAATAGGTTATGGAGTAGGCCCAAGAACATGGAGAAATAAAAATCTATGCATATCCTCTGCGGGCTTCATAAACAAACCTACTCTCTTTAATTCTCATACAGCAAAACAGATGGATATTCAGATACACCTGTTCTCTTTCAACTACTGATTTTAGAATATCTAGTCTCATGTACTGTTCTAGTAGTTCTGTTTCCTCCAAGCTGTTGTGCAGTGCTCTGTGAACAATCCAACATTTCACACTGCCATCACACAACCTGTGCACTAAGCATAACCCTTTCACTTATGGTATCATCTACCAATCTAGTTCTCCTGTATTAGAACTTGCATTCATTTTCTTCCCCATGCTTCAAGTCTCATCTTCTATATCATACAGTATCCTCATTTATTTTCCCCTTCTGCTTTTTTATTAAAATGGCATTAAATATTGGGCTATTGTCTCACCTTCTACTCCCATTTTCTAGTCTAAATGTCTTTTTGAATTAGTCAATGAAACACATTGACCTGATTAGTCACTGTGTGATGTATCTATCTTTAGAGAAATCTTTTTGGCAGAAAACACTGGTGGTAAAACATACCAATATTTTATTCATCAGGCATCAGTTACCACCTCAGCCAGAACCCTTTACTGAGTGGTTTTAGAGAGGCAAAGACTTAAAAACACTGATTTACTGCTGATTAATAATTCCATTTACTCTTCTGCCTCTGTAAAGCAGGCCTGGATAAACATAATTGATGAGAATAAAAGTCCCAGAAATTATTTAATGTGATTTTATGTTAAATAAAGCACATTATTAAAGGATAAGTTAATTAAATATTTTGGTTCCAGCTACATGAGGTGTGATCTACCATTACATTTTACTTAACATAGGCAATTGAGTCACATTCACATCACCAAATTTGTAAATATAATTTTTCTGCTTTCTAAATGCATATATATTTTTAATCAGATGCAGCTGTGATATAAATACAGTAGAAGATGTCATATGTTGCTTAGGGCTTCTCTGGAGACACACCTTGATATCATGCCTTGTATTAGCTTTATGAAATATTTTTCGTCCTGTATTATTATTCTGCAGAGCTTGATTTCTGTGGTATTTTTAGTAGACTAGATACTGAATAGTCAGTTCTAATTTAGTTTTCTTTGGTTCTTTCTCACAGTGTGGTGATTATATTACTGAAAAATAGTAACTTGAAGTTCAAAAGGAAATACAGTATTCAAGAGAATACTGAAATAGTCCTAAAAATCAGAGGAGAGTGCCAAATACTAGTTAGCTTATAGGATAGAAGAACAAATTAAAACATGCATTTCAGTTTGTGAGGTGTGAGGTGGGAAATATGTAAAATAGTCCAATAGGAGTTTTCCATTAATGAAAATGTTTTAACAAGTTAAGTTTACTTAAGGTTAAAGAGACTTTCCAGCAGCTGGCTAAATAACCTATAGGTTCCTTCTTCAGATTCCTTGCTTTTTTTTTATGCTTTCTGCTAGATAGCAAACACATGATGCTTCTGAGAAATAATTTTTTTATCCCATTGTAACAAAAGTCTACCTTGCTCCAATTAAATAAACTGAAAATTCTGAAGGATTTCCTAGAAATGTGCTTATAATCTTCAATACAAGGAGTAAACTTATTTCTCTGGTACACAGATGATTGATTTTCTGGACAGAAAGATTGGAAAATGCCTTCAATTACATGTATTTGTAAAGCTTTCTATTTCCAGTAAAGCCTTCTTGGTCTGCCTACATTAATGTACCAAAAAAATAAGGTTTTGACATCACCTGCAGAGGACTCCTGCTCTCTTACATTTTATAAGACCTCTGAAACCTTCTTCAGTGGCAAAAAATGCTAGGCAAGCTAGTATCAGGCACTGGGGATCAAGTGAATCCTACCAGCCTCAACAAAATAAGATAGACCAAACCAAATACTGAACATCTGAAGGTTTGTGCAGTAATCATAGAATGCTCAGGGTTGGAAAGGACCTTAAAGATCATCAGGTTCCAACCCCTCTCCATAGGCAGCGACACCTCCCACTAGACCAGGTTGCTCAAAGCCCTGTCCAACCTGCCCTTGACTAAGACCTCATTATTAACCAGGCAAAACACAACAAGCAGGTAAGCAACCAGTCTGCAAAAGGCAGAGAGGTCTTAATCACCTTTGCATACTGAACACTAATGCTGTTAATTAAAGATCTATCCTAAAGAAAGACTAGCATTGCCAAACTGAAGCATGACTCAGCATTGTTATAAAGAAATAGCTCACATTCTGCTTTTCTTACCAAGAACATAATGCTGAGTTAGTCTTTTGTGGCAAGGTGCTCTAGCAGATGACTGTACAGACTTTATCAAATGGCATAACACGTTCCAACAGGAAAAACGTTTTTCATTCGGAACACTTGTTCTGCATCATAAACTGATTTCTGGTTTAATGTATTTTTTGCACTACTTCTTAATAATTATCAGAGCTTAGATTTCAGCTTCATTTCATCTTACATTAGTTACACAAGCAACTATAGCAGTTTATATAAAACTTTATTGGATATAGGCCATATTAAAAAGTAATTAATAAAGATAGCCCCTGTCAGTGGAGTGAAAAGCGATCAGGAGAAAAATATGGTGTAATACATATATTATTATAAAATAGATACAATTTTTAATCAACTAGCAGAATGCTTGAAAAAAATCTATCTTTTTTCAAGTAGATAAAGATGTATTCCAGACATTTCATTATTATTATCACTTAAATTCCACATTTTTCCTTTTTTTTTTTTTTTGACCATAGTTGCATGCAGCCCAGGATCATACAATCCTAGTAATGGAACACACTGCCTTCAGTGCGACAGCAGTTTGGTATATGGAGCAACCAATTGCTAAGGACCGAGGGATCTGTACTCTTGTAGTAGCTCTTATAAATTTTAACTTGGTAATATTAATAAATATTTTTTAAATGTACAGTTTGTTTTGGATACATCTACAGAATACACTTGTTTTTAAGACAAAAAGATTCATCAGCATATTGGTAATGTTTTAGGTCATAGCACTTGGGACTAATTAGTTTTTAAGGTTTTTATGATATCTGCTAGCTTAATACATATAGAGACAATAAATTAAGTCACAAGGAGAAAATACAAAAGTAGAGATATTTTTCATGCTTAGTCCTTTGCTGATAGACCTCAGAAGCTCTTAACACAGACTGACGTTAGCAGTCTGTATTGTAGTTCATCTTCCTGCCCGTTCAGTTGTTGGTTAAGAGGATTACAGAGAGCAGCTTGTAGTGTACATCCACCACTGAAAGGTCATGAATGTTGCCATGTAGCCTTGAAGGCAAAAGCATCTTGAAAGCTTTCTTTCAAGATGACCTAAAATACCACTACTGAACAGTTGGCAACTTCTTCCCAAAGAATGCAAAATTCCAATTGGGTCAGTCATCTGTTCCGCCTTTGACGATACCATGTTGAGCGTAACATTTTTGCTCTTACCTGAAGAAACAAATGATAACATAAAATACCACAGTAGTTCTTATGATACTCCTTTACTTTTGTAAGACTGTTGAAAATTACTGATTGGCTTAATGCATTCCTTATTCTTCATCAAAAGCCTTATTCAAGTTGGTATCCAGTAGCAGAATCCTGTTTAAAATCCTATTTGTTTTGTATTTGCAGATCATGCCCTGTGCAAATTGCAAAGTTTTTCATAAATATTACTGAGTTTATACTCTTTCCCCCCTTAGCTCTTTTTCCTATTTAGTTCACATATAAAAATGAGCCAGATGTGAAGACTATTTTTAGCTCTTTGTTGTATCTGGAAAATGGGGTTTGTAGGTGTTTGTTTTTTCAACCACGCGTATGGACTAAAGGTTTAAATATGTATGTCTTTGGGAACTGTATTCTGAAAAAAAGAATAAAAATAAATACTGTGCTACATCTAAGAAGTAATTTTGCAGTATATTATCTCAAGATACTATACTATAAGCATCCTACTAATACACTGTTTATGTGACAGAGCGTGAAGCTTCAAATGTATTATATTTTCATGTGAAGAACACAAAAAATGAAAACAGTACATTTGAAAGTAACTAGTAAGACTGTATGAATTGCCTTTCCAATTTGAAGGAACTGCAGTAGCTTTTATAAGCATTACTAGGATTCTAGAGAGTGTCACTGTTTATTGCTCAAACACTAGTATAAACAGCATAACTAGCAGAATTTGTAGAATAGCTCTTTTTATCAAATGCTATTTGGAAAAAATAGCTGGGAAAGAGCATGTTTTAGCAGTTAAGAAATGGTATCTAACTGTAAACCATAGAATGACTAAAGGTTACCTATTCCTTATTTTCATCTGGTAATTAGACATGAACAGACTAATGAGTTGTTACATTAGGCTGAAGCACTGCTCATCCATATGTAATCTCTGTAATTTCCCACTCAAAACTGCACTAAATTAGTTAGCATTAGGTTGAGTTATTAAGGGCTAAAGAGTAGTATCCATTGTTCTTTGTGAAGCTACACACTTTGTTACTTCCCCCACCTAGTAGCAAGTTATGTCAGCACATGGAACTTCCTTTAGCATAGATCTTTAGCATAGACAGCAAATTAACTGGAGAATTACCTTTTGAAATGAATGCATCTTTTTAAGCCAACAGCAATATAGATTAAGCAGCATTTTCACTTTTTTTTAGATTTACCTTTCTGTTGCACATCAGAAACAGTTCTGGTTGACAAACTATTTGATCAATTAAAGGCATTCTTAGAATTGTATCTAGACTTTGAGGGAGAATAAAACTGATGCAGTTTTCACTGAGATATGATACACACTAGAATACTGACTTCCTTCACCATGCATGCATTTATGGATTTTAGCAAAAAAAGTATGGATAGGTGAAATGCACTCACAAACTTTGAAATGAAACTCACAAAGTTTGCACACTCTTTAAGGCCTACTGGAAAAAGCAGAGTAAGTAATTATAAAAATTTGTCTTTAATTCTGCTGACTGTGAACAAAAGCATTTTACAGGTGTTTTTGTGAAAGATCTTTCCCATTCTGTGGTTGCAGTCAAGTCAGATGCTTCATTCTAGGTGCAATCTGTGGAAGAAATCCCGATCTCAGTTAACAGTATTCACCTGGGCTTCCGAATTACTCTTGGTTTATGTGGGCTTAACCAAGCAATGCATACATGCTGTATATATATATATACAAATATATACACATCTCTGGTTTCTGAACTATTTTAGATTTATTCTCATGTATGGTTGGAGCCAGAAGAAATAAATTTCTTTGCATATAAAACCATGGAAAAAAAGTCTTCCTTTATTCCTGAAAATAATGGCATGTTAATCTTGCTTTCATTTCCTCATGTTACATCTCCTATGTTTTTTGCTGGTTTTCCACATTGTGAGAATTGCTAATTGCATTCCTATTGCCACCATTGCTACCTCTTCACCATGAGGTAAAATCTGTACATACAGAAACACCACTCCACATTTGCAGATGGTCCTGCAGTTTGTTCAAAATCCTCAGCACTGCTCTATATCCTGCTGGAACTGGAGTGCTTATAGGTTTATGTGATATTTTTCCCTTTTTGTCAGAGAAACATGAACATTCTAACTTCTTGATTTCTTCTAAATTGACAAGATTATTGATGAAAGTGAGTGCCAAACTCAACATAGATGATACGTATTGAACAAGACTAACTTGCTATTCCATTCTTACATATTCTGCCTATTGTTTTAAATAATAGCTTTAATTATACTGCATATTTCTTAAAAGCAATAATCTTTTTAAAAGCAGGAAACTGTTTAGTGTTACAGAAATAACACTATTAGCTAACAGGCCCAAGTGAACTTAACATGAACAACATAACAAATATTTCTTGTAAGTTGAGAGTTGATAGTTTTTATACATCAACTTTTGTGCTGCTAATTATGTCAGTGTTTTCCTATTACTAATTAATTAGTATTCCGTATCAGTATTTCTATATAGCCTCAACAGGTAAACAGTAACAACCTTTGGCTTCTCTGTAACTGCTTCATTGACATATGAGTTTGGAGTTTTCCTGTATTTGTCTTAGAAGCATATAAAATGAATGAGGCACTTATTTATTACATATGGGCAATTGGAACACACTGGGTTGTGTTTATTTTTGCTCCGATATGGGAGTTGTTTAATGTGACATTACAAAGGACTGAACATTTACATTTTTTAGTATGGTTGAACATAAGTATTTTTTAAGAGGAAAAGGGATTCTGGGAAGGAGCATCTGTCTTCCCAAAACTGAGTAAGTTATAAACTTTCTGAAGTAGTACTTACTTTTAAAAAAAGGGATAAAAAACGTGTATTCTTGGGAGCCAGAAAAATAGTTTGTGATATTCAGTTCAATGGTGTCTCTTAAGTTTCTGTTTTGTTTTCAATGCAGCAGGATTAGAGGGCAGAAGCTGCATTTTTGCAGACAGAAAACCCATGGTAACACAGACTGTGAAGAAATTTCCTTGCCTGATAAGGGGAATAAATGGAGCGTTTAGTTGGATTGCTTTAGATTCTTAAATAATATGTGCATTTCAAAGCCTCCTATGTATTATGGAACAATCATCATAGTTTAAAGTTACCATCAAAAGTAATATCAAGTACTTTACAATCATGACAGTATAGTCACACCTTGTAAGAACAGAAGAGATTGTTTTCCAAAGTGAGGGAACCTTTCATCCTAGGTTTTTCTTTCCTATCTGTATTAGAAACTAATCCAATGTAATTTAAAACTAGCTTCCAGTTTTACACCTCTGAAGATCTAGTCCAATACCTTGCTAAATGAAGGTTCAGTGGCAGCAGGCTGGTCAGCCTGCTGTCCAGTTGGCTTTTGACCATCCTGAAGGATTGAGACTTCCCAACATCTCTGCACAACATCCTCCAGTATTCAATCACTGTTATTGTATGTTTGGGGTTTTTTTGTTGTTTGTTTTTTTTTCATCTTCAACTAGAAATTCCTGTATTTCAGTTTGTGCCCAGATACGTTTCTCATTTACTTTTTATAAACTATTCTTTGAAAATGTCCCTATGAAATACCCATATGACATTCTAGCTAAGTCTTTCTTTTTTTGAACAGTCTTACTGTAACTCTCAGCTCCTCTGTCTCGTATCTCATATATTACACCTTTTTCTCCTCTTCCCTTTTAAATCTCCTGTAAATATTTAAGTGAACACCAGCACTTCCAACTGCATTCCTTAATGGCTAATTTTTAACTTCAGATTTTTAATTTCCACATTTGCATTTTCCACTCCTATAAAGGGAAAGGAAGGTTTCCGTTTTAAGATGCTGTCTATGTGAACTGACATCATCCAGCAGGTGGTATATATCAGCTCCTCAACTCCAACGTGGAAGTTGGTAACCAAGTTACACCACGGGAGTAAGTAGCAAAGGGTAGCTGGAAATGTAATCACTAGTCTTCTGGTTTTAGATACTGATTCATTATGTCTTCCCTCTAGCAAAAGCTTAAGGGTAAGCTCACATTTAAGCATTTTCTTGAGCTGTTGCCTCAAGTGGTATTCAAAGCAGATGTAATGTAGGAGGTAGTTGGTGATAAACTAAACCAAACCTAAAATGCCTCTAAGCAAGGGCTGTTGGTGGCTGAAAGAAGGGAGATGTGATTCACCACACAGAGTCAGGGTCAGCTTCTGTCCTAGAAATCCTTTGATGGATTCAAAGAGCTTTCTCCTCAATACTGAGTGTGACAGACCCCTTACAGACTGCCAGAAAGAACCAATATTAGAACAGAATATCAGGAACTGATTTTCTCTGATTACGTTTTTATAACAACAGCTATGAGAGACCAGTTTGGTACTACCCACTGCTCCAAGTTATCTCAACTGTTGAGCAGTAGATAGGCACCAGTAGAGCCCAGAGAAGGAGCTGACCCACCTCTACACTGTGGCAATTTTCATAAACTGGCACAGCTTCTCTGAAAGTGTATTTTACTCCATTTCTTTCAAAAGGAAGAATATAAAAGTTTTGTCATATCTTCTAATATTTTGTCTTTCCTGGCCCACTAAAGTGAAAATTAGAAAAAAAAGAAAGAACAACAACAGAAAAAATACAAAACCAGGAAAAAAACCCAACCCCAAAACGCCTAAGAAAAGCCTCATGTGATGAAACTAGAACAGAAATGTAGTGTTTTAGCCATGGTGCGTGTACAAAATGGGACAGGCAACAACAGAGTACTTTAATCTGTACTGTCTATATAAAACATTTATTTTAAGCTCTATAATGGTATTATAGAAATACATAGAATATTTTATAGAGTGTATTTTAGTGTACTCACTGTGAAAATAACACATTTATTAAGACACGTATTTGTATGTCCAAATGTTTTAAATATATGCACTTCTCTGCCTTGCAGTATCATGTTACTTTGAAAAACAAAATACCAATCTTTTATTCTTTGCTCCTCACCAAATCTTCTCATTCTGATTTCCCTGGGTCATCTGTGGTGCTCACTGCTGTGAGATATTTTATAAAAACCACGAAAAGTACTTTGATTTGTAGATTTCCTATATTTGTTTGCATTCATGTCTAGTGCACATAGCTTGCCGTTCAATTCTCCAAGTGCCTTCTTCGTAAGTACAGTGACATATAGTGCATTCATCAGTTTTCACCTCCCGGCCTGCTGGGATGACAGTCGTTTCTGCAAAGCAGTTTGGGCCTGAAAAAAAAAAAAAAGGTTGGTTATGTGATACACACAGCACTCTGTCCTTTGGCACAGCTCAGTGTTAGTCTCAAGGATGGAAAACCTAACGCGAAGTGAGCAAGCGCCAGGCACACAAATCAAACGCGAGCATGGTGCACGAGGCACAAAAGCAGCCAAGAGAGCAAGGACCCCACCCTCTAATGTGGCTGAGTGTTTCCAGCACGGGCTGTCCTGCCTTCCACAGGGGAAGGCACAATAAATCCTTTCTGCAAAACATGGAACTGTGACTGAGACCTGGGCACAACCTGACAATGCAGATGAATAGAAGTTTAAGGTAGAGAGAAAGCTGGCTGTTGACAGTGCAACTCTAAGCTACTAGAGAGATTATTACAAATGTTACTACTTTTTCTCCATTAGAAACAGACATTGCATTTGGTGTAGTAATCAGTGTATCAGATTAGTTGATTTTCCATTTAAAGGAAAAATATTTCTTTTCCAGTAGAATGGAATAGCTCAAGTCTCTTCTAAATGAAGATGCTTTTTGTGGATAAAATGAAAGTCAGCAAGTCTACAATCACCCCTTTTCCATTTCCAAGAATGAGGCAGGAGAATGACCCTCCAGCACAATATTCACAAGACAAATCTAGTTCTTTCAAAAGGTAGTACCATTGCACCTCTCTGCTGCAGAGGGCTGAGTGGTGTATTACCCACAGTTCTGGTAAAGAAGAAATATATTTCTATCTTAAAAATCCACACACACTTCTAAAGCAGCACTAAACTCTACCAACCATTTCCTATCTATGCACTGTCGTCCTCACAGGAATCTGTCCCTGCCATTCAATGAGAACATACAACAGCTGCTCAGGCAGAGCCTGAACGCTCAGCTGCTATCCATTGGGGTAAAATGTGCAGCATATATTGAGCTGATACAGCTGAATCTCTTGAAAGAATATGGGTGGGCAACAAGTTTATCAACTGCCAACCTGTTGGCCATGCAAGTAAATAAATCACAGGTGAGCTTCAGTCTTACATTTCCAGGCATCTACTGTAAGATATAAGGAAGCAGTATGGCTGCTTCTTCTAAGGCAATGAATTACTTTTTTTTAAGTGCACTGTCTGAAAACCAAAGGTGGGTGCAAGGTGCACATTTTAAAACATAAACCAAATAGTTTACAAATCAATTTAAATAGTTATCTATTTGGATCAGGTTATGAGTCTGTGTACTGACACAGATGTCTGAGAATTAGTTGCTAAATTGACAATAATAAAGGCCTATCCACATAAAAAAAGGAATGAAGAGGACTGGAATACTTGCAGAAATCTGCTTCACCAAATCATACCATTTATTCTCTGAATATTTAAGTCAGTATTTTGTTTTAGAACTGTTGACAAAGATCTCTAACATGTGGCTTCTTCCTCAGTTCTGGGTGGCTTCTGGCCCGTTGAATGCTTTGGACACAGAATGAATATCAAAATCCAACATATATCATGAAGTTACCTGCTTTAGTAACATAATGTTGTTGTGCACTTGTGTTCACAGCCCCCTTCAGTCTGTCCATGCAAAATACCCACAGGGTTAGGAGACACAGGAAGGAGGACTTCAGGGTAGAAGGCATGCTTCTGGGCCCCACACCATACACTGGGATGTAGCCCAGCTTTTAGCCAAGATAAAACTCTGTTATTAACTATGCAGTCTGTGGCAGAACTTCAGAATATTTCAACTCTTGATACACATAATTCTAATTATGTTTTGGTTAGGTACACTATTCTTCTTGCACCTAACGAACTTTCATTGCAAGATGGGTTCACCCAAGAATTAGGTAGAAATATCTGAGTGTTTTGCATGCACAGTATAAAGAGTTAAAATATTAAAAGCAGAATCTACTTTCCATGGAGAATTTGCACGAAACCTACAACACCACTTGAAATTTAACACTGCATAAAAGGAACAAAAATGGTGTCAATCCCCTGTGCAAGATTTATTTAATTCTGGGAAAGTAAGTATTACAGGCTATACTTGGTTATAAAAACCATCCAGGGAATGAAGTAAAAACAGAGCAACATACCTAATACAATTCACTAGGTTTCAGAACGTAAATGCCTCCATTCACAATTAGCAGCACCTTAATGCCAGGCATGACGACTCCTTCTTACATCAGAAAATTATTAAACATTACGTTTAATAAAACATAATAAAATTAGTTAGCCTTACACTGTTAAACTATTTAATATGGGGGGAAAGCCATTGCTTTGGTAAATCTACAAAAAAGCAATAACAATCTACTTGAGAAAGGAACCCTACAAAAATAAATGACAGCAACAAAGTACATTATTGAGCAAACTAGATATTTTTTTAGTATTATGTATTTTTTCTATAGAAAATGGCCTCTTTTCTGGTGCTGCATTTGCCCTCATCATTACTGTAACTGTAAATCCTATATAGTACTTAGACTTGCAATAGTCAACTGGCATCCATGCCTCATCTTTTTCTTCACAATATTGCATGTGCACAATATTGTGGTTAATGAAACAGAAAAGGTCATCAATGAAAAGGCTGAACTGACTGTATTACTGCAACACCTGGCACATAAATGTCAGTACAACATAGTGGCTATCCATTGGGGTAAAATGTGCAGCATATATTGAGCTGATACAGCTGAATCTCTTGAAAGAATATGGGTGGGCAACAAGTTTATCAACTGCCAACCTGTTGGCCATGCAAGTAAATAAATCACAGGTGAGCTTCAGTCTTACATTTCCAGGCATCTACTGTAAGATATAAGGAAGCAGTATGGCTGCTTCTTCTAAGGCAATGAATTACTTTTTTTTAAGTGCACTGTCTGAAAACCAAAGGTGGGTGCAAGGTGCACATTTTAAAACATAAACCAAATAGTTTACAAATCAATTTAAATAGTTATCTATTTGGATCAGGTTATGAGTCTGTGTACTGACACAGATGTCTGAGAATTAGTTGCTAAATTGACAATAATAAAGGCCTATACACATAAAAAAAGGAATGAAGAGGACTGGAATACTTGCAGAAATCTGCTTCACCAAATCATACCATTTATTCTCTGAATATTTAAGTCAGTATTTTGTTTTAGAACTGTTGACAAAGATCTCTAACATGTGGCTTCTTCCTCAGTTCTGGGTGGCTTCTGGCCCGTTGAATGCTTTGGACACAGAATGAATATCAAAATCCAACATATATCATGAAGTTACCTGCTTTAGTAACATAATGTTGTTGTGCACTTGTGTTCACAGCCCCCTTCAGTCTGTCCATGCAAAATACCCACAGGGTTAGGAGACACAGGAAGGAGGACTTCAGGGTAGAAGGCATGCTTCTGGGCCCCACACCATACACTGGGATGTAGCCCAGCTTTTAGCCAAGATAAAACTCTGTTATTAACTATGCAGTCTGTGGCAGAACTTCAGAATATTTCAACTCTTGATACACATAATTCTAATTATGTTTTGGTTAGGTACACTATTCTTCTTGCACCTAACGAACTTTCATTGCAAGATGGGTTCACCCAAGAATTAGGTAGAAATATCTGAGTGTTTTGCATGCACAGTATAAAGAGTTAAAATATTAAAAGCAGAATCTACTTTCCATGGAGAATTTGCACGAAACCTACAACACCACTTGAAATTTAACACTACATAAAAGGCATAAAAGGAACAAAAATGGTGTCAATCCCCTGTGCAAGATTTATTTAATTCTGGGAAAGTAAGTATTACAGGCTATACTTGGTTATAAAAACCATCCAGGGAATGAAGTAAAAACAGAGCAACATACCTAATACAATTCACTAGGTTTCAGAACGTAAATGCCTCCATTCACAATTAGCAGCACCTTAATGCCAGGCATGACGACTCCTTCTTACATCAGAAAGTTATTAAACATTACGTTTAATAAAACATAATAAAATTAGTTAGCCTTACACTGTTAAACTATTTAATATGGGGGGAAAGTCATTGCTTTGGTAAATCTACAAAAAAGCAATAACAATCTACTTGAGAAAGGAACCCTACAAAAATAAATGACAGCAACAAAGTACATTATTGAGCAAACTAGATATTTTTTTAGTATTATGTATTTTTTCTATAGAAAATGGCCTCTTTTCTGGTGCTGCATTTGCCCTCATCATTACTGTAACTGTAAATCCTATATAGTACTTAGACTTGCAATAGTCAACTGGCATCCATGCCTCATCTTTTTCTTCACAATATTGCATGTGCACAATATTGTGGTTAATGAAACAGAAAAGGTCATCAATGAAAAGGCTGAACTGACTGTATTACTGCAACACCTGGCACATAAATGTCAGTACAACATAGTGTCCAAACACAGGAAAATAATTACACTTTTATAATTTCTCCAAACCTTCAAACTTCTTCTAGGGGAAAAAATACCCTGAGCTCCACCCCAAACCTCATTCAATTCAGAAGCTGTATGAGCTAGTCCTGGCTCTTGACATCCTGTGGCTCCCTTCCCACCAAGCAGGCAATGCTCACAAAGGCTGGTGTTAAGACTCAAAAGTGCCATTTTCTCACTCTCCCTTACCAGAGGGAGGCAGAAGCACATATCTCCTACACATTCAGACTGGATAAGTTGTCCTGAAGGCATGACATTTGCTGAAACTACTGCTTTACTTAAAGCTGGGCAGTTTATATTGATTTAGCAAGATTTTCAGCTTCCCATCACAAAAGGCAAGACATTGTTGAGTTTTTAAGAAGTCTGAAAAATTACCTGACTTAGCACATGAAAATAATTTCAGAGTAAATCAGGGCTGTTCCAACTCCAAGGCAGTGGTGGGCTTTCTGACTGGATGTGGCTGTTGCAGGAACAGTGAATCTCTTCTTGGTCTTCATAAGAAGCTGCCTACTTTCTGACCTCCCACTCTAACACCACCACTCTGCCAACTTCAGCACTCGGTACTCATTCAGCACAGCGGTGGCTTGTTTGAGCTAATATGATCTGTGGTATAAACCCCCCTGGGCCCCACCTCCAA